CCATTTCATTTCCATCAAAGGAGCTGTGATTTTTCTAAAGGGAGGGAGAGGGGATCGTTATATCGAGAAAGACGCTGACAATTCGTTAAGCAGAGGTTACGAACGTGATATGGATATTCTGGCAATAAAAAATTCCTTAAATTGAGGTGACTCTAGTACCCGTGATAAATCAACCCCGTTATGTAAGCCAAAGCCACACGTTTATTAATCTCACTTTGTTTTGGGTTTGCTTACAAACGTGATTGGAAATGGTTAGGGCCTACACAATATTCGTAAACAACATTTATGTAAACATATCAGTGACAGCTAGGAAAAGGAATCTTTATCAGAACAGCTGTTCGTAATTTCATACATGACGTGTTCTCTTAACAGATTATTAGTATTTCATAAATTAATGACGTATATAGTAAACATGGAGAAAATAAACTAGAAAAATCACACAAAATTGGGTTTTTGATCGTCCTTTATTTTATTTCCAAAATAGTGAGGCCATATTTTAATGGCTATGAGGACTCTCTCACCAATCCTGTGGATACAATTAAGCCATTAGAATCATAATCGGTACTCTAGTTTTCTTTAGAGTAGGCTGCATAAAATGCCTTCTGGGCCGTGACACACGGACATAAATTGAGATAAGTCATGTTTCAACTTCTTCAATGTATAAAACATAAATAACCCAAAATATGTATAATTCTGAGCAATGTACAGACAAAACTATAACTTAATTTATATAGATTAACTGGGTTTGAATTTTATATATCAAAAAAAAAATATATAAAACTTCTTTTTATAGTTTTACAAATAGTGCTGGGCGGGGGAATAATGTTTCTCATTTGTTGTGTACATCATTTATGGTTGTGGGGGGGGGGCTGTTGCTCAATTGGGTGGGGGGGGTGCGTCATGAGTCTAGGGGGGGATGGGCACCCCTGATCAACAATAGGTCGTCTCCTGTTTATATTACAAGAAATTAAAACACACATCCTAGAACTAACCCTAAAATAATAGAAACAAAATTACATTAAAACTAACATCCAGTATCACCAACATGAACTAGACATGAAAATATTTTGAATTAACAATGTCATAAGAAGTCGACTTGAGTTATATTTAATCTATGGTCGTACTGCATCTAGGTTATATTTCCAAAGCAAAACAGAGCAATATTCCGGCCAACCATACCGATCCTTAGGTCTGAGGAGAAAATGACGGCATTAATGGTGCTTTGGAGGGTATTGAATGTTTCTAAAATCTAATGCAAACTGAGATTAATATTTTTTCGTTAATTTTAAACGTAAATTCATCGTTGTTTTAATATTAAACACAACGTATTATACATTTTAACTTGATCCTGCAGATTGTTGTAAACTAATCAAAAGACTAGTTAATAACTTTTGTTTTGTGAAGTGAGGGTGGTAACAATGGCTAGCACGCATGCGCCCCTAACCACTATGATCAGTAGTGCCAAGCCCGAGCCTGAGCCAAAGAGCCAGCATAGTGGCCCAGTGCAGTGGCAATACGATGCGTACCCCTTGGGCGCTCGTCAACGTCAACACCCCTACAGCCTACTCCCGTATACAATGTTCGTTAGCAATTTTGTAACGAAATTGATGCGTAATTCTGAAAAATATTTTAAATTTCATAACAATAATTTCTTCTTATGAACTTCAGAAGTTTTTTTTTTTATTATGACTATTTATTTTTATTTTTAGATAGCCTATAAAAAAATTCCTCTTGGCTGTGCGCCCTCTGGGACCTTGCGCCCATAGGCCCGGGCCTACCGGGCCTATTGGGAAATCCGGCCCTGGATTTTACAGTAGTCCAAAATGGAAAAACAGTATGATTGAAAAGTACCAGAACAGTTTAATAGATTTTTTATCATTATAGATTAAACATTAAGACTTGATACATCATAAAATAGCCATAATTTGGTATTATTTGCTATGATAACTTTTTTATCCCTAAAGGAGGATGACCCATGAGGATTCAGACGAAATTCTTAAATAGCAGCATAGGTCAGCATAGGTCCAACTTGAAATTCAGAGCTTAACAAAATTCAAATCAGAATTTAAAAAATATCTAGTAGAGTTAAGTTTAGAGGACATAGACAGTTACCTAGACGGTGACAAAAATTAGTATTAAGCTGGTTATTCTTTGTATTAACCCTGACCTGTCCAATTCCTTAAGGCAATGGACTACGGACGGAGAGATCATGTATCATGTGTATCATGTCGAATGTGGTATCCTGAGGTCTTAGTTAGTAAAACACTTGCCGCAAACCCGAACTCAAAAGGACAATTGAGTAAAAAATGACAGCTGTTCAATGATGCATTGAATTTGCAATGCTATTCCAGTATACACTACCTCCTCAGAGGGGCGACTGCTAGACGTCAGAAGAAAATCATAAACGTAAGTTAGGTCGATATGCACTTTAAATTAAAGGTCTTAATTTGTAGAATACAATACAGCAAATTTGAGCTCAATAGAACTACTGAGAAACAAATAATGGCAGCCGTTCAAAGATTCAAAATGGCAGATTCAAGAGATATTTGAACTGCTGCCATTTTTGACTCAATTGTCCGCTTGAGGTCGGCTTCTCTGCAATGTGTTCTACTAAATAAGGCCTTTCATTTGATATCAAACACGACCTATGCTGCTTTTTAAGAATTTTGCCTGACTCCTCATGGGCCGCCCCCTCAAGGGATAAAAGAGTGATAGTAGCTTAAAAGAGTTGACATTTATGGCTATTATTGTATTGATGTACCTAGTATTGTTACTAGGTATATCTATAGTGGTAAAAAATATATTACACTGTTTCACTGTTAATCACACTGCAGGCCTATACAGGGTGATTATAAAAACGTTTCAGGACATTGGGATATTAATGAATCCTCATACTAAAAGAAAGAAAAAAAATTATGTGAAGTTATATCCGAAAATGAATATTTACCCAGATTATCGGCCATTTTGTTTTTATACATAAATATTTTTATCTTTGACGTTTTTCAACAAAAGATTATGCAACTTTGTATGCATGTTAAGGTAAAAGAGACCTATTGTGGGAAAAAAATGAAGTTGGTCCGATAAGAAATTTTAAAATGGCGGCCGTTTTAATTTTTATAACTTAAATAGCTCAAAAACAGCTAATTCTATGAAAAAATGTCTGAACACTTTTATTTAGCATTAAAAATTCCCTATCAAACGGCACCAAGATCCAGCAACTTAAGTCCATTGTGTAACACCTAAAGTAGGAAAACCTCTCCTCTCCTCCCAACTTCTAACTTTACTTTTTGGAAGTGAAGCTGCTTTTCCTGTCGAGTATTGCACTGAGACCCGATAAAGTGAGACTATTCTTCAGTTGCTTTAAAAAAAGCCCGGATTGTTAGAAACAAAACACTCGGGTTTGAGAAATAATACCTATTCGTTTATTTTGGTTAATTTAACTTACATGTTTTAGCTGAACGAATAACGTAAATAAACATTTCAAATTACTTGTAGAATAATATAGGCTAATAGATTGTTTTTATAAAAAAAATTTGGATAATGAGTGATTTGTATATTTTCCCCATGTAGTGGGTAAAAAGAGCTTTAAAATGACACCTCTGGGCCGTGACTAAGTTCCATCGACGAAAGTCACGACTCATTTCTGTATTCACGTTTTTGTATAGTGTACGTTTTTGCCGGTGTCGATGTTCTGAAGTCCCCAGTGAACAGACGTCTGCTCCAGGAGTTCTTCTTACTCCTGCCTTTCAATGTGCTGATTTTTTTGGAGGCTCTATGAATGGTAATGAGTATATATGTTTGATTCTATTTTCTATCCTCTCCAATCTTAATTTTATCCACAATAAACGTCAGTTTTATTTTTTTGTGAAATTTCGCTAATCTACGACGTTTAGTTAGGCTTGCCATATTAGTTTGATGGGGCCCCAGAGGAAAGCGAACACCTAACCGTCATGAGCGTCGGCGGAGAGACATTGTCCATCCTGGCCTACCTTTGGACTCTGGCCTCCTCTCCGCTCTGCTTCATTGCTCCTTCGGTGTCGTGTCCTTCGCCTGAACCGCCCATAAACCGCTGTCAACCGCAAGTTATTTGTCATATTTATTAATTGTTGTTTATTTTTTAAGCACAGTTTTTATCGTAAACGATTTATTCAAACTTGTTATTGAATTATCGTACTCATTTAAGGGGCCCCTAACTGCTTAATTTTTTTAGGGTTATAATTAATTTAATTTGAATGTTTATTGTTACAGTATTGTTATTGCTGTAGGCCTAATTGTTAATTTATTTTGAAGGTAAATTTTTTTAAATTTGATTTGAAAAGGAGATTTTGATAACCAAATAAATGCCTGTGAGCAGGTAGGATGGGTGAGAACCCTTTTTAATTAATTTTGCAAACTTATTGAATTCCATATGTATTTTTGTAATTGTTTTCAAATGTTTAATTACTAACAGCTGTTCCTCTCAAACGGTACGTTGTTCTTGAACCTTTTCACCACGGGTTTTCTTGTTGTTAGGTCAGGGCCGTCCGAAGGGGGGGGGGGGGCAACCGGGGCTAGCTGCCTTGGGCGCTGTGGCGCCGCGCAGCGGCTATTTGTATTAACACAGTATTAAAATATGCGAATGCGACTATTAGTGGGGGGGGAGGGGGCGCCACGACCACAATTGCTCCGGGCGCCGCCAACCCTAGGGACGGCCCTGTTTTAGGTAGGGATATGAGTCGCCCCTCCGCCTCTGTCCATGGGAACACGCTTCTAATTCGTTCCGTTGGTTGCGGGAGCGGGGGCGTGGTTCACCTCATTTATGGAAATTGAAGCATCTTAGGTGTATTTAGGCTAAATGTGAAGTAAAACAAGATATACAACTTTAGTGCAATGTGTTTTTAATTCATCAGCGAATACTATTTCGGTGTATACACACATGTGAAGTAAATTTACCTGGGTAAACTGTGCGCAATGTGCTGATTTATATATACTATAACAACGCAACTTAAATGTATACATACATGTAGAAGGCACTGAACTCCACATCTCAGGACAAGAGTCTTTCTTCTTATTCTCTTCAGGACACTTTGAGAGCCACTCGTCGAGCTCTTGTCGAATGTTTTGCAACAGTTCACTATTACCTAGGTCACCCTCACTAACACTATTATCCTTAGGAGTAAAATCTTCAGGGTTGTACGGAGGAAAATCACTGTCTAAAAACTTTTTCAATAAGTCTTTTACATTTTTTTCATCACCTTGCTCTCTAGCTGTGAAAGCTTTCCTTGTGGGTTTATTAAGCTCAACGTTCAGATTGGAAAATGTAGACGCTTTTTGTACTTTGGTATTTGCTTTCTTGTTTATATTGAGAGGGATCGAGATGGTTCCTGGTCCCTGTAAAAAAAGCAGTAAGTATTTTAATTTGTAAACAAATTTCCCAAATAAGGAATTAGTTTTTTCCATTCTGAAACACATTGTCATTTAAATTTAAATATCAAAAGTCTGTGGTTCTTATAAACAATTCATCAAGAGTCTAGTAAAAAGTTATATTTTTCCATCGAGTTACTGATCCGTTTGGATCAATTCTAACTTTTATATAAAATCAAAACAAAACTAGACTTCTTGTGATAAGTTTTTACACAATATCTGCCTATGATGAATCTTAAAAATCACTTAAATTATTTCCTACAGGCCGTTACACTCCTCCGTATCGTCTCGGACTACAGTCCAATAATGAGTTAATTGAAAATTAATTAGTAGGCTGTACAGTAAATCTTTAGGGCATCAAAAGCCAAATAAAAAATAGGTACACATTCTTAAATCAAAACAATAATTGATGTCTTAAAATACATTTCTCTAATAATATTTTTTCTTAATTTCCTTAAATTAGGGCTAATCTTAGGTCGGTTGCTATTCCTCAAAGTGTAGTACACTTAGGTACCGGTACGGTTGTGCTTGTACACTAGGCTACTCATTGTGAACAACTTAGTAACCTTTAACATTTTGAATGACATTCCTACTTGGACGAAATGAATATCAGGTGAGTATTGCCACTAACCTTCTTTGAGCTACGATTGAGTTTCTTCGGCTCTTCCCGAATATTTCTACTTCTGGACAAAGGATTTTCAACTTGAAATCCCATTTTTCTATTCCTTTTAACTAACATCGATCTGAAAAAAAAAAAAAAAAAAACATACGGCTATTACAAAAACAGAATTTTTTAAATAGAGGTGTGCAACAACTTGTGTGGTACCAGTAGTTTAAACGCAATCATCACATAGTTTTTATGATACAAGAATAAATTTAAGGCACGAGCATTGCCAAGTACCTTAAAAACGAGTGTCGTAATAACCAATTAAGCGAGTTGATTAATTTACTTACGACTGTTTTTTTATTCATAAAGTAAATAAACAATACGGTAATGTGAATTTTTTTTATTTTAAAAATGAAATTGAAATTGCTAGTTTGAAAACAATTTAATTAAATGTTTTAATAGCTATTTACCTTACAAGTGTAGTAAGAGCGTTTTTACATCATGCAGGTGAATGTTGTGCAACGAGCGGAAGCGAGTTGCATAATAACCTAAGTGATGTAAACACGCTCTTGCGTAACGTGTAACGTTCAAGATTTTACCTGACCCGACAATATGCAGGAGGTTACGAACAATATTTTTCAATATCCATTTCACTTATCTTCTAACAATTAAGATAAGTGTTTAAGTTTAATTTACAAACAAAAGCTAGGTTAGAAAAATTCTTCAAAACATAACAATAAAATTCAAGTGCACAGCTGATTTCTAGCGTTGAACGTTGTTGGCTCCATAGAGATATATTTTTTAAGTTAAGCACTCAATGCTATTTAAATGGGTTTCATTACATCACCGAGTGAGTTTTTTTTCAATTTTACATCACTCGAGTCGAGAAGTAAAGAAGTTGTATACACCACGCTTGAGATAGGGAAGTTTAACATGGTGAGTTAGGTAAAGAAATAAAAACAATAGTAGCCCATTACTTCTACAAGTCAAACAAAATCCAAATTGTCTTGACAATTGTTTAGAATAGAGTACAAAATTATAATTGAGAAATCATCCACCAAAAGCAGGTTTTAAATAGATTTAAATACATTAACTATTTAAAACCAACTATTAACTATTAACTATTTCCCTTTCTTGCAATAACCAGGAATAAAAATCATTCTAAGATAAGACTTCCTATACACACACTACAGTATGTTGTTTCACACAATTAGGCTTAATTGTTGGATCGACTGATACTGATCAATCATTTATTACCATCATCATTATATGTTGATTCATATGTACGTCTAGCTATCAAAAGATATTCTCATAGCCAACTTTGGGAGCTTATGAAACAAAACTTACTTGTCTGCATCGCCGTTATCAATACCAGCGAACGCAGGGATCATGTCTGGGGATCTGGGTTGGACCAACGGAACAGACACAGTATTGTGCACTCGTACTTTTATTCCATGACCAGCCTTATCAGCTGGAACACTCCTTGCTCTTGACATTTCTTCTTATTAGGCCTATTAGTGAGACATTCTATGAAGAAACAAATCCAAAAAGAAAGTTTTTAAAATAACCTAACTTACACAATAGTTGCAGTTAATTTTTAATACATAAGAGAGGGCAAAGGCCTTGGTTTTAAGGAATTTTTGCTACAATGGCAGGCTTGTTTGAATGGGAAAGGAAAGACTATCCTGGCACATGAAACACAAACATTTTACTGTACACACAAAATTAGAATATTTCCTTCATTGATAGGCTAACATTTTCAAGCAAGGAAGGTTTGAGTTCGTGGAAGGGAGGGAGAGAGATTTCAAGTTTAACGGTGGAAATTAGAGGTATTTTAGATTGAGAGTCAAGTATAAAGTTCTGCGTTTCATGTGCCAATTTCTTGAGCATGTTTTAGAATTCTATTTTATTTCTCGTTCAGGTAAGTTAAGCTTGCCAAGTAAAAAAAAAAATCTCTAGCCTACTTAACTTACAATACAATATTTCGACGGGAAGACATTTCTTATATTTACTGTAAGCAGCTTTGTAACTCAACGTTTCAAATTTGTACATTTACGGAATAAAATCTAGATTAAATTTCCCTCGTTCAAGTTTGCAAATCAGTGTTTTCTTAACTTACAAGTAAGGCCTTATGTAGGCCTATTTTTATAAAGCTGATCCAAGCCCAACAACTGTCAGGATTGGATAAGAAATTACTTGTAATATAGACCCGAAACAGGGCTAATGAAAAGATAAAACTTTGATATCGGACTCCATCGGATTTATTTACAAACATTAGGTCTAACTTAAAATTGATTTGACCAGATAACCAAACTAAAACTAGACCTAGTCTAACCAAAACCCAAACTTTCAATATCGATAGTAAATTAACAATCGATAAAACGATTTATTTTTAATTCATATTTATCCAACGGCAACCAACATTTTACAAAAAGTTACATAGCCTAAGCTTAGTGACAAAAACTCTGGTTTAGTTCCAAGCAAGATCGTTTCCAGACCCAGATGCCATTGTCATTGGGCCAATATTTAAGATGCTATCTAACAAAAAGGTCGACGTTAGGTTACTTAGTAACAAGGGTCTGGACTATTCCCTTTCAAAACATAAGAATACAACTGGCGTAGAAACCCACAAAATAAAAATAAAGAAAACACCACGATAACTTATCACCCACGCCAAGATGGAGTCAGATATCAAAGTTTTACCAATGAAAAATAAGAGTAACTTAGGCCTAAGTGGTTTACTGTGCTTCTAGCCAAGGCAACACTAAATGTTCTAGCAGCTAAGTTAACCAAGAGTAAAATAAGTTAGGCCCAACGTCAAACCGAGAGAATAGGCCTATGCCTAGCACCACGATATCAGTGTTCTTGCCCTAACTTAGATCTCGTTTTGTAATACTCTGTTCACAAAATTTAGACGGTTTTAGGGAAAGAAATCATCCCCTCCACTACAGTATTGCCAACCTACCTTTGGCTGCACTTAAGTTTACGTCCTACACTCATTCTAATGAACACATCAATCGATAGGTAAGTTATATAGACTATTTCATTCGATATTAATCAATATATCGAATAAATGATATTATCGATATTTTTTATTCAAATGAGTGTAGAACGTAAACTAAAGTGCAGCCCACCTTTAAAATAAGTTAAGAGCTATTCATCTGAGGGCCGAGGTTTTTGTAAGGTTTCTGTTTGACGTGATTTAGGTTTGCCAAAACATAGATCTCTTGCACCAAATATAAACTTATTATAGGCCAAGCAAAAAAAGTAAGTTAAGTAAAGTAAAGTAGTGGGGGACTTCCCCTTCAACCGCCTAAATTTTGTGAACGAATTAAGTTGTGTTGTAGCCTAGTTAAGGATGACAAAGATAATAACTTACAGTTGAGGACTTACCAGTAATGAGGAATTGATTGGACCATCACTCTGATTCTTGACTTATTAAAGGAATAAAAAATCTATTGTCTATTCGGTAGGTTCATAAGGTTTGGTAGCTATCCATTTACTTCAGCTTCGGCTAATTCAAATTTAGGACTGACTAGTGACTAAGATTTTAGCCGTGAAAATATCGGGTTAGCTTTAAAACACAAGATCAGATCAATACACTAATCTTAGGCTTGCCGAAATTTGAGGGTTCAAATTTAAAACTAAAAGCAACGTACACCACATTTTTAGAACTTTAGTTCACTGTATTATAAAATAATAAGCCTTAAGAAAGAAATAGCTGCGATTAATGATTCAAACTTCAAACCCCTGAATTCTAATTTTGTTTGATGGAAAATAAACAAACAGACAAAAACTCTTCTTCTTTGCTGTCTCCATAGAATAACTAACAGATAATGGATAATATCTCAGCATTGATTACGAAACTCATAGTCATATAGCAACAGATACCGGTCAAACCAGTTAAACATTAATCAATGCTTTTGACTTAACTTTTGATTTCGTAGCATTCTAGTACATTTACGAAAATTATAAAACCTGTAGCGTTAAAAACACACACCCTTATTAGATTAGATTTAGTCATCCTTAGGGGCCGCCAACCTACGTATGTAACGCGATTTTTTGTAATAATTTTCAAACCACTTCCTTCACCCATGTGACGCTATATAACGCAAGTCTAACCCCCATCCTTTGTAACCTAATGCTGTCAGATATTTTCTAAAACAACGTTGTGGTTTATTAAATCAAGGGGAAATTTTCACATGAAGTAAAATGGTTCAACATTGGTTTTGTAGTAATGTCACCAATAGCAAAAATCATTTTAAGAACAAACTTTACTGTTAATTTGAACAGATCAATGTTTACAACAAAACATTTTTAAAACATCAATTAATTGTATACTGTATAATAATAAACATTTTTTAAACACTTATCATGTGAAGTGTCTTTTTATAGTAGCACTTATGAACAAAATTTACATTTGTAGTAATTTAACTGTACAAAATTCTGATTTATTTTATTTGCTATCATATTTGACCCAGGATGACCAAATCCATATTTTTATGTCCTCTCCTCACTAAGACTGCAAGATCAGAGCTAGGAGTTGGTGAGACCTTTTGGAACTAGAATAACAGTTCTATAAAAAACAAGAATAAAAATGTAAACTGGTACTAAAAACTAGTTTTACCAAGAAGACTGTTTTTTAAATAATTTTATCAATTTGCTACTTTTGGACAAATTTGATTTTTTAGTGCCTTTCCGTAGCTATGTTGAAAACCCCTACCCCCTCCTCGTAACGCTAAGTCGAACACCCCCCCCCCCTCCTTAAGCGATATGTAATATATGTGGACGGCCCCTTACGGATCGGCTGAAGACAATTTTACAATTAATAACTTGCAATATAATAACTTTAAAATTAAGTTCAGGAATCAGGCTCCATCTTTTGCAAAATAATCCACCAAACTACTCAACCTAGAAGACACTAAAAAAGTCTATAGTCTAACGTCTACCCCTTTTACAAAAAACACGATTTTAAGTTGTGAATGTTGTGAAATTAAATAATCATCTAGAGTTAAATTTGGAAGAGTAAGTTGAAATAAAGCTTTTATTTTTATGTAAGTGGCAATTTAAATTTAGATATATTGTAGGTACTGTAAATACTGCATCACCTTGTAGCTATATGTATAACAAATGACGTGTCCTAATAATTTTATAAAGATCAATGGAAATAAATATTTCTTATTCTTACGATAAAAGCTTGTTTGAACCAGTTTGACGGATTGCTACTACTAGCCTAGTTCAAAAACATTAGCAATATCCAAACAAGATAGTAGGCCTAAACATTATTAACGTAAACAATGAAATGATGAATTTTTGCAGGTAATAAACATGTAACGAAAAAAGGTAATTTTAGTGTAGCGAAAGAATGTAAAAACTCTATGGAAATCAGGTAAAAAATAACTTTATGCTAAAACAACTTTAATAACAAAACTGTTATAATACAACATAAACTAATTTAAAAAAATAACAATCCAACATAAACCATAAAACATTGTTCAGGCACTATACATGTATTTATTACAAATAGATATACTACATAATTTTTCTTTATACAATAAATTAATAATAATGTGCAAATATAAGATTTTGACATTTTTAACAAACATATACAAACAAAGTATTCACAAATAGGCAAGACTTAAGTACCACAAACAACATAGGAAACATTGATTGGAAGTTATTTAAATAGTAAGTTATCACAAAAGGTCCGGAGGATTAACTTATGGCTGGTCCTCAGCAACTACAGCAACTGCAGCTGCTTCTGCCTCTTCTTCCACTTCATCATCTTCCTAAACATTCAAGTATTCACACTAATTAGCATCTTTAACAAGTTTCAATTATTATTTGTCCCTTGAGAGTTAAGATTTTGTTGTCCCTTCAAAATACAAAAGATTTGTATTTTCATGTGAAAAAAACTTTCATTCTTGTTTCTAAGCGGAGTTATGTGTTGGAACCAGGGGTGCCCAGAGGGGGGGTACTGTGGCGCGTTTGCGCCACAGGAATTTTTAGGGGGGACTTTTTTGAGGGGATTTTGGGGGGGATGTTTTTTGCTAGCTGTCATAATGAATGAAAAATTTTGTATAAGCAGCCCGAAAAAGTGTTTCTAAGTAGCTCACTATCAACACCAACAACATTTTGCCATTCGTAATTAAGATTTGCTTCTAAGAATGGTAAAAACGCACCTTGTCAGACAATCCTTAATATACCAGTGTCAGTGTCGAATTTTATTTGCTACATATGTTTTGGTGGTTCTTTACCTCCACCACACAAAACACGAATCGATTACAGATAGGCCTATCAATTCACGCGTATATATTGCCGTCGTCAGAACTGGAAGTAAACTGAATCAGGTTCAGGTTATGACGGACAGACGTGGTCTCTGGTTTGTCGTCTGCATTGTCACCAGCTGATATAGGACTATTGTAGTGACTGAGAAGAGTGTTAAAAGTATAATGGGATTCATAATTAAATGAGTGTTTTCACTCAAAAATTTTGCGCTGTCCCTAGTTTTATGTATTTATATATTTCAAACTCCTCAAAGTATTTAATAAATTTCCTTTCGTGCAGTACTGTAGAATTTCGAGACCATAATTTATATCCAGCAGATAAATTGGTTATTATTGTCAATAATTTTAAATGGAAAACTCAATTATGAATCCCATTATATTTTCAACACTCTCCTCCGTCACGACAACTAGTCCAATATCAGCTTTTGATAACACAGACGACAATCCAGAGACCACGTCTTTCCGTCATAACCTGATTCAGTTTACTTCCAGTCCTGCCCGCGGCAATATACTCACGTGAATTGATAGGCTTATCTGTTAACATTTCATGTTTTGTGTATAAACAGATTGTCTGACAAGATGCGTTTCTACCATTATTAGTCATAAAAGGCAATTCTGAGGCTATCAAAATTAGTTATAAGATTACTTCGTCACAAAAACCTTTTGTGGGTATTTTGCCTGGCGATTTTTGTAGAGTAAAATCGAGTTTTTGGAGTGTGTTGTTTGTAGTGGCGGTGTTTGTAGAGCCAGGGAGTGGCGAGCAACAAGTCTGTCTTATTTCGTGACTGCCTATAATTTTGAAAAAAAAAACTTTTTGCCAAAGTATTATTAATGTATTTTTAAAGCGGTTTGATTTCTTAAAATTCTTCTCTGAGATTCTTTCTCTGTAAAATTTAACGCCACCTAATATATTGTACAGTTACAATACTGTGTTGGAGTAGAGTAATTCACCTAGTATATTGTTGTACGTTTTGAAGACGTTGTCTATTGCAATACTGAACACAAGTTAGCTGACAATAGAGATTCTGAAATGTAAATTGAAACACTTCTAATTCGTCCATTAGTTAGATACACCTAATGAAGTATTGTTAAATGTTGTTCGTTTCCTATTAAACATTTAATTTTTATTATCAGCAAGTTTGTTTTTCTTTACCTCAAGTTTACTAAATACTAAATTGGAATGCTCGTTTTATGAGGTAAAGGGAAAATTGTCAGATAAATTGGTGGGGGGAGGGTAGGTTTAAATAGACGGCAGCATAAATTGGGGGGGGGGGGGAGAACTACTCCTTTGGCTTGGGGGGGGGGGGGTTGCGCCTCTGGGTTTGGGGGGGATGGGCACCTCTGGTTGGAACTAAGTAACTTTACAGATTGCAAATGAAATTACAGTAGTGAATTTTTCACATGCAGAAAATTCATACCACTAAAAAAATACATGCTTAGTAAATAAATATTTAATTCCATGTATAGCCAATTTAAAATATGTAGCAAAATTTAACATAATTTTAGATCAGCACACTTTGTTGGTGGCTCAACTCAACTCAGATCATATTTCTTCTAAAACTGGCAATAATTATAACAAATAGGAATAGAATGTCTACTTTAATGGACAGGAAAATCTGGTAAATACCAACCTTATTAGCCTCCTCCTCGGTGGCCTCAGCCGCAGTAGGCACCATGTCAGGAGCATGGTGGTGATGGTGTTGGTGGGAGGCTGCGGGGGGCAAGGGACGGGGGGGTCGTGGGTCTGAGCGGGGGGAACCAGCCTCCTCACTCTGGGCGGGGCATTCCAGGTGTACACAATGGAAAACCTACACAACACATTCAACAGTTAATGTACACAACAAAATAAACAAAGTGTTTTGGAGGTAAAACCTTTTGGCTTGGGAATACATTATCTCTAGATTCCCAGAAATGGTTAGCCAACCGGTTATTTTTTGTTGTTTTGCGGGGTTCATATGTAAAGAATAAAAACCATACCTCGTTAGCAGTGTTGTGTGTGCCGATTATCCTGATAAACACGACTGGTCTGCGGGGAAACGTTATGTATTGCCAAGACTGACAATTCTCCCTGGTCTTGTCCCAGACGAGTTCCCAGTCCCACAGATTCACAGACACTTCCACGTAGTAGCTGTAGCTTCTGTCGTCACAGTCCCATAGTAGGATCCTGTCAAGTAAAAGTTGATAAAGCAGTGATCCATAAAGCTGTTCAGTACAACCTTCCATTAACTATATATGCTTAACACAACAACGATATGTTACATGCAATATTTTTAATAAAAATGTATTTTGACCGCCCAGGAAAGATAAGGACGAGGATTTAATTTAGTCTGGTGTATAGACTTCAAGAACAGTAACACATTATTTATGATTATAAGTGTAATATGTACTTCTCTAATAAGATGTTTAAATAATTACTTTTCTATGATAGAAATAGAAATGTAACTAAGGTGAATTAATTTTCACAGTAAATACGAGCGGCAGTAGAATGCAGATATTTGTACCTTTGCTACAGACTAAAAAACCTCAAATTTCTTTAATCAGGACCGTGAATCACAAATATTGATCAATGACGGACTAATTCAAGCTTAAACTTAAGTTCCGAAGGTCAAACTAGTACTCTTAACCAGCGAACACATAACAAAATAGAAGCGCTACTCGGAGCGCAGGAGTGTGGCAGTCTTACTAGCCGGCGAAACGGACAAAGATGGCGGCGCTAGCCTACCTGTCGGGGAAATAAATATGATATCTCAGAGATGAATAATCCAATTTTGTTGAAACAAAAATTAAATATAAGCTGGTTTAAATACATTTTACGTGGTAGCAATAAAAAAAAATCCGTTTACCAGAAAGATTTATATTGTTGAAAGATCCTAAAAGTACCGGTTTTTAAGAAACTCTGCACTAACACTGAAGTTTAAAATTTAATTGTAAACAAACCACTGAGCCAATCGGCCTGCCCCTGCCAGTTGCAAAAAACACCTTTGTTCGCATTATTAATCTGTCATATTGGTGTTATTTCTTGTGTCACGACAAACACGATGATATTTTGAACGACATTTTTAGCGTCTCATTATGTAAGCATACGTTTTAAAAATAAACATCAGCATAAAAACTATTGTGAGTAAAAATTTTAAAATGCATGGATCTGTTAACAATAAATCTACCAATAAGCCATAAAAATTTCAGAAAGATTGGCTCAGTGGTTTGTTTACAATTAAGTTTTAAACTTCAGTGTTAGTGCAGAGTTTCTTAAAAACCGGTACCTACTTTTAGGATCTTTCAACAATATAACTTTTTCTGGTAAACGGATTTTTTTATTGCTACCACGTAAAATGTATTTAAACCAGCTTATATTTAATTTTTGTTTCAAGAAAATTGGATAATTAATCTCAAGAGATATTTAGGCTCAAACTCAAGCACATATTTATTTCCCCGACAGTAGTCCCGGCGTGTGCAGCGCGCTAGTCGTCTGCTATGCTTGATGAGAATAGTGTAGATATAAAGTTAATGATATTAGTGTAAAGGAAAACAATGTAATTGAGGACTTGACGAACAAAGTACTTGGACAATGTGTAGGAGTAAATTTGTTTCCAAATAGTACATATTTCTCAGGATATGAAACAATATGGCCAAAAATCATTTTTGATTAGTACCTAATTAAAAATATTGCTCAAAAATATTTCAATGTTAGAGTTCGCTACTACTGTAAAAAAATAAGTAACGAAAGTTTTCACAAAAATAAAATCAGGCAACATCTCAATAAAACTGTAATTTTTCTAGGACAATAAATAAATTGAGTGTAATTTTACAAATATATTTGGGAAGTTTAATTTAACTTACAGAATTATCTTTAGTTTATCTTGGATGATATTGAAAGCTAATTAGTCCTTAAAAAGTTGTGCTAATCGGTTGAAAATTCTTCATTGACAATATATTTGAAAATGTCTTTAATATATACAATATTACAGTACAACAGTATAAATAAAACATTAAAACACTGCACGCTAAATGTATAGACGACGGCCTGGCGGCGCAGCGGGCGTGGCGCGAAGCAGTGGCAATGGATCCCTTTTGTACCTGATTTTTTAGAAAACCGAACATGATAAAAATTTTTTGTGAATCGCATAGTTAAATTTGGTTATTTATCCACAACTTTCCCGCTGACGAAATTTCTCTGACCAAAAAATAAAAAATTTCCTCGCAATACAACTTTTTCATGTCTGAATCTGAAAAATTAAACTACAGAAGTGTTAAACATATTTATTACTCAATTACTATCATAACTAATAATTTTATATTCACACCATCGTTTTCCTCAGTATCATATCTACAAGTGTGCAAAATTTCAGAATTTTTTGTCAACTATTAATGTTATTTATGATCGTGTATTTGTCGCGGGGTTTTTAATGCGAACTGAGCTCGCGGGTCTTGGATTCAGGCTGTGTGACGGACCAAGATGGCGGATTTGGCCACACTTTCAGTGCATTTGGTTAAACGCCGTGTCCTCTCTATTATTATTATTATTATGTGCTCGCTGCTCTTAACACTACATTTATAAAAACCATAATAAATTAATAATATAATAGCGCTTATAAATGCCAAAGGAATTAGTAAGTTAGGTCACGTACTTCGGAAACAGGATGGCACAAGACTGAAGGAGGTTTGTGAGGTCGTACCTACAGGAAGACATCCGTTGGGTAGGCCTTAATTAAGAAGGATGTGATCCAAGGGGGAAATCCGGATGGCGGAGGATAGAGAAGAGTGGAGGAGGCTAATCTATGACGCCCCAGCAGTGAGTATAATGAATGAATTAAACCTAGATATAAAGCTACCTCATAGAGTCGAGTAGGTAGGGCTGACCCAGTTGTACGAGTATTGAGCCGCTGCCCAGCTGGTGACAAGTGTAGCCAGAGTCCCAATCATAACGTTTAGTCTCTCCGTCCAGCAGAGCGTTACGACTGCGAGACACACCTTCAATCACGCTGGCACTGCATGCGCTTGTGGCCACATTGTGTTTAGGCACTATCAAACAACAGTGTCAGTGGTGTAGGTGATCTTATCACATTGATAGATTATCTAGGTCACATAGTAAAATTGGTTCACTGTATCCCTATTGTTTGGCGAAAATAATTTTACAATAGCAAAATGCTCGTGGTCAGATTGAATTTAGTTAAAATGTATCGTAACAAATTTGCATTTCAACCTTTTAAATTTTAAAAATATTCTTTTCATCATACTGCCCGGAAAACACCGTTTGAAAACACCACACAAATTTGTTTGAAAACGCCTAATTCAACCTAATTACACGATATTTTTTTAAAGTTATGTTTCCAAACAACGGATGTAAACATTGATGACAACTCTGTATAACCTCTCAAATTATGTGGTCTAATAAATATTTAGTAGCAATTAGAAGGTTATTTCCACAGTAGGCCTATGATGAAAATAGTTGTTCATCACACGGAGCAAAAGTGTCTTTTTGGTACTCAATCGTATTTTCAAGCTCGGCTGCGCCTCGTTTATGTAACACAATTGCGTACCAAAAAGAGCTACTTTCTCTCCTAGTGATCAAAACTACTATTGGTATCACCAGTGCTCTGTTTTTTAATCAGCAGTCAATGGGAGTGTATTGTAATCATCTTCGGACCAATGATATGACTACAGTAGAGAGTTAATTATCAAAAATAATTGGAGATTTGAGGTGTTTGGACATCTATTTTTCTTCATTGGTAAGGGAAAAGTGATACAATATTTTAACTTTGATTGATGACATATAAATTGGTTTGTGTTTTTTACTGGTTTTGTTTGTCTCTTGTGATTATATAATCATTTGTGAGCATATTTTGTGATCTCGGCGACAGCTGTGGTTGACAAACATATGTATGTATCGGACAGTGGTTAAACTAGTAATTAGCACACTTTTAACTTTTTTTTTTCTTTCTTTAGATAAACGACATTTTAGGTGACTGGGCTTTGGATAATCAACGCTCTACTGTATTTAATATTATGTATTTCTTTAGGCTCCATGTCAAAACATAAGGTAATCCATACAGAAGAATCACATAAAAAATACAAAACTTGGTGTTGGATATGATGCTTTACAAGTAGTAAATACATACTACTCTTGAGAAACTGCAATATAGTGGACTGCAATTGATTTATTAAGTACAACTATAAAATTTAGGCTAGGCCAACAAAAAGTGTCCAAAAACTGTTTTGTAGCTAGGTATATTGAAAAGGAAAGCTTATTTGTTTAGGTCTCGCAATAATAATATAACTCACCTATCAAGCCTTTTTCGATGTTTACTGGAGTATTAGTGTACATAATCTCAAAAGAGACAACATGGAACACTTTGTTAACCGTGTTGTTGGTCCCAACTATCCTGACGTATCTCACCACTCTCGGCTCAAAGTACAAGTATTGCCACGATCGGCAGAAGTAACTTGTGTGGTCGATGACTCGCGTCCAGTCTTTCTGGTCCATTGAAACTTCAATGTAGTATGAGTAGGACCTGTCAACAGAGCAATGGTTGAAGGAACGAGAACTCAAACATATGTGTAATTAAATATAACACTCTGAATTTAGAATATAGAGATAGCAGCTAGCTTAGCTTAGAACAAGTCTAGGTAGGCCATAGTACATATAGAAGAGACAGAACACACAATATTTCATACCTTGGGGAACTTTGTCAAGTAAAAACGAAGAGAGTTGTACAGCTATAGTACAAGCAAACTAACAAAGCTTACACAGGGATCGTTAAAAAAATTGCTAGAAAACGGTTTTATTTTGTAGTGTTGGGTTTGCAGAATGGCATACTAAAAGTTGCCAAAAATCGGTGCACGAGAAAACCACTTAAATCACAATTTTAAATGGCGGCTTTTCCCAACATTGGACAAATTAAAAAAAATATATTTCACATGCATTTCTTATGCACATTTTTTGAGATATTGACTTGGGACCACCACCTGTATTAATTAGGTGGTTAGTACTTCATTTTGATAGGGAACACGTTTTTGGCCGCCATCTTGGATCTGCCATATTGGACATAGATAATTTTTTTTCAAGGTAATGATAGTGTTGTGACACATCATTACAAACTACATTTTTACACTGATTTCAATGCCGAAATCTGTTTTTCAGTATCTTTTTTTATTTAGAAGAAATACTCAAACGAAAACTCTCCCCCATACGTTTCTTATGGACGTTTCGTAGTTTGATAATTTTTTAAATTATTTTTCTTATATCTCCAGCTCTTACTAACGCTTGCAGTTCGTTCTAGGCTTAAAATATTCAGTAATGTCAGGGCTTTAATTTGAGCTCTAAAAAAAAAAATGTTTTTTTTTAATGTCATTAAGGGTCAAGATAGATGTTTTAAAATTTTAATATCAACACCCTTTACACTTTCAAAAATGTTACACAAGTTATAATTTTACAAGCAAACTTATTATCCTTTATTTACTCAATTAAATACAAAGTTTAAGCTAATAGTTATTAATTATAAAAATGTCTAATAGTTGCATTTAAGGCCTAGACGAAAACAAAGACTCTGCTATTACTGAAAGAACTAGAAGCTCTGAAAATTCTGTGTTCTGTGTAACTTGTGCACTTTATTTTTGTCATTAAGGTAATCCAACTCTTAAACCTATCCATTACAAAATCCTTAGGCAAATCCTTAGGCAAATAATCATTAACCTCAGGTCTCTATCCCACAGCAGCATCTTAACATGGTTGACGATGAACTGTTTGCCCAGCTTGATGAGTATGCCGTTGTCACCGGCCTCGTTGATGGCGTGTCTTGTGTAACCTCGTTCCATGTCGTAGTTGCTGCAGTCTCCGTCCAACAGAGCCGTCCGCATCTCTCCCTGGAGCACCTGCGTGCCGTAGTTAGGGTGCGCTACGTTCTCCTCTGGCTCTGAGCAAAAAAAAACAAAGCGTCCATAAATTTAATGTGACTAGAAAAAAGTAAAATGTGTTGTCTATTTGGAAAAAATAAATATGATGATAATGGAGTCATTAATCTGATCCGACAATATTAGGGGAAAACACTGACATTTTCTTTATCAGCAACTGCCGCCTAGGTCACAGTTTTTGGTCGCAATTCACCTGATCCGGAGGAGGCTAGCTGTCATTGTCAAAAGTCCCAAGCCCAAGTACCAATACCAATATTTTAACTTTGGTACCAGTACATCTTCCAAGAACCGGTGGTTCCGAAATTACTTTTTAGGTATGAAAAGCAACAAGCATCATCACTGATTACAGACAAATTTTTGGTTACTGTAATAGTTTGTCTTGAATGAATCATCGGTCAAGAGCTACAAAAAGTAGGTTACTTAAATAAAAAATTGTTTTATATCAATCAGCTGCATAAAATTGTATTACAACAGTTATGGAATTTAATCACAGCAAAAGTAAACATTATTGCATCATTTTTTGCATGGCAAATCAAAATTAATTTCCAAACTTCAGAACTTTGAAAGTAGAGGGGGCTGTGCACTAGGTCGATCGATAGCAAAACTGGAATAGCCATAAGTAAACCTAGGTTGCTCCATGTTTGAGGTTCTTTTCTACATTTTATTTGGAAGTTATTTGGCTGATAAGTAAAGTAATCAAAATTGTAGTTGAGTGAAAATTTAAAAACGTACGTTTTCATGTCCCTGGCCTTTTACTTCGTAGATACTGGATTTGTAGTTTATTATTATGTGTTTTAATATTTTTTGGGACGGGGGCAACATGTTACACACATTTATTTGGTTTTAAATAGGTTCTAGGTATTTTTTTCGTATTTTTAAAGTATCGAAATTCACGACCATGACTTGTCCCTAGGGTACGTTTTCCAACTTTCACGCTGTTTTTAGACTAATTATTCATGCCGAAATATATAAAGCCATATTTTTATGTCATCAATGGTTATTAAACTTACAAAATAGGAGCATATTATAATTTTATTGTCATTGCAAACTGACTACCATGACAAAATAAGTCTGTCCCTCGATTTGGCGTCACGACCATTTGGGAAAAACTTTCAACTTTGGAGCACGACAGTGGCAAGCCTGGCGTCGATGGAGTCAGTTGGTTTTAGAGACTAGTTCGGGGTGTACGCCAGGATTGTAGTGCCGGTCGTTTCGAGTTGAAAGGAGGAATTACAAGATTAATAAAGGAAAGATTGTGTTTTTTGTAATTTTGGTGTGTCCATGACCGTACGTAGTCATTCGATGAAGTAGACATGGTGTTATTTTTTGTTTATAAGATATTTCAATTGCTAGATTAACCTAGAAGTCCACTTTGTATCCTCGAACATGAGGTGCAGGGCTACCACCAGAACAGAGCCAAATAACACGTAATTTCACGACCAAAGTTTCACGACCATCGCGGTTTTTTTCACGACCAATCTAGCCTTATGGATTATAGTGTGTTTGGTCGTGACAATAACTTTAATATAATTGTAAATTGAACAGTTTAGTTCAATTGAAACACATAATTTTATTATATCTAACAGTATAATTGAAGGATTGTTTAGAAAGATTTAGATTATTCCAGACAATTCACGACCGTACCGCTTGTCACTGACCATCACGTTTATGATTTCTATCATAAAAAATTCAAAAATTAAAATATCGTCATATTTCAATGTTTTATACACAAAAGAAGCACACCTCTATACAAACATAACGATTTTTCGGGTCTCTGGTAAGTTTTTTCGGAGTTATACAAACTTAAAAAGATTTTATTGGCTTTTTTTCAATTTTTTGAGTTTTTTTCTTTTTTTCTAGAAAGACCAAATATACCAAAAGCTCAGTGACCTTTTTATTGTATAATGGTCATAAAAGTAAATTAGTTTATAGCAAAACATAGTTATAAAAATAATATTAACTATTTTTAATATTCATTTAAACGTCCGTTATGGTCGTGACAGGATTTTGTGTTTTTCCACTAAAGATGCTCTTTAAAAAAAAAAACTACCAAAGATATTGCGTTACCATGGACATTTTATGAAACTTCAAATGTTAATAAAATAAAAAAAATAATAAAAGTTTTGAAAAAGGGGGAAAAAAATTTGCAAAGTGCTTTTCCTGAAAACGTACGTTTTTAAATTTTCACTCAGTTATATTAAGTATGGGAACACTCACAATTGTCTGAGAACTGACTAACATATAGATTAGTTTTGTTTAAGGAAAGGCTCTAGGCCAGGATTTTAAATTGTAGAAAAAGGAGGATAACATATAGATTAATATGAACGAAAAGAGCAGAATAGGAAAGCCATTCCACATGTTTCCGTCTCACTATCTTTTTATCAAGTAATGAACACTCACTAAGGGCTCCTCGATACTTCAAGGTAGAATCACGACATGTTGTGCGAAGAGTGAGAGCGTCCAAAATGGTGTCTGGAGTGACTAGCCTAAGAGGTCTGACTACTCCGAGCAACTCACTGACTGTCATCAGCTGTAGTCTCACAGTCCCCAACACCATCTCTAGCTCAGGTCCTGATGACAGTGCTGCAACACAAGGGTTGAGACACAAACTTTGTGACCGAATAAACCAAATAAGTTGTCAACATGAGCACAGAAAACATACTACTATAACCCAGAACTGCCTACGAATTGACAGGCAAAGCACTCTCAAAGTACTTAACGCTTTTTACCATGCGGTTGGTATTCTGGGTTATAGTAGTACGGTACGGTATGTTTTCTGTGATATGAGGCTATATTATATTGGCCACAATGAAAAGTAGAAGGGGTTTAATTTCAAATGTGTGTTATTTACAGTAAACTACAGTGACTAAGTGGTTGACTGGGTTACATTGTCTTCCAAACAGTGGTGTCAGTTTGACCCTGATAAATGTTTGCAGCTTTTTGATGGTTCGAAAGTGAACTTGGATTATACATGTTTCTGGCTAAAGAAATAGCTAACCTTAGTAAGTAATAAAGCTACAAAATTAGCTCCATTGTAGGCTATACTTATCTATCGCAATCAGATTTAGCTACAAATACGCAACTAAAGTGGCATTCCTGACTTAAAATAATAATAGTAACAATAATAATACCACAGTGACAACATTTCAGATGCTATTCTCACCATTATTTTTTGCCCAATCAACGACAGCTTGGAAGATATCAACTTCTGGGGCATAGAACGAGTCTCTCTCTAGCAGCTCTTTCAACCCACCCTGAAAAACATCAACAGCAACTAAATGCAAAAAATAGTTTAGTTTCAAATGAGCATGCTATATTCTATATAAAAAATTACAACATCATCTATACAATACTAAAAACCGGAAGGCCTATTTGGGTTGGATTTTGCTACCAAATTTTAATTTTTCTCTGATTTACTTCTTTCTCCTCCACTAGTGAACCAAACCGTTAACCAAAAGATGCTTAAATACACCTTTTTTTAAACTTTGTGTGTGTAAATTAGGCTATTTTACAGCAAATATAAGCACACATTTTCTTTAGAAATTTATTTATAGGTATGGATTAAAATAATTATGATTGTCAAATTAGTTGTCAGTTTACTTACAGGGCTCAACTGTGTGAAAGTCTCGTGTTGAATGATCTGTGCAGCGTGATTGTCCATGAAGCTGGCACAAACTCTGGTCAAATAGTGGAGCTGATAGAGTCTCGCGGCGTCAAATATGGCACAAACATTTGTGAGGCTCAAGGCTTGTCGGAGAAAGTCTGAGATTGAAGTTTCCAAATCTACAAAGCCATATTGGTGGGCGAGTCCCAAAATATCTAAGACCACATCCTCCTGTAAGAGAAAATGATGTATTTTTTTATAAGTATAACTAACTACATTCACCAGGATGAATCATATTAAAACAATATTTGAAGTATTGGGATATTCTTTCCCAGCTTGTTCTGTTTTAACGAATGACAAATAGTATATTTCATGTCAAAAAGCAGGCTAGTGGCAGGACACCAACACACTACAGCTTACTTCGAAGGCTATGCAAATTTTATATCTTCAATGTTTATTGTTTGAGATTTGCTTATCGACCATTTCGCTGTTATACTGAGTACCAGTATATGAAGTCAGTAGGGCAAATGCAAATCAAGCAATATGGGTAGGCTGTGTTTATTTCTTGGAAACAACCATCACTAAAAATCAGTGGCGGTTCCAAGGGGGGGGGAGGGCTATAGAGGCTTAGCCCCTTGCATACGTTTTTCTGACGAAAACTTAACAGAGGTTTTTGGACACAGTTCTAGGCATTAAAAATGGCTAAAAGTCACCAAATGCCTTTTTAAATCTAGCATATTTTTTAGGGGAGGACCCCCGGGGCCCCTCCTTGTGTGAAACAACCCCCATTAGGCCCCCCCTTTGACAATGTCCTAGAACTGCTACTGCTAAAAACTATTATCAAACCTACAACCCATGGCTGTATGATTTCCGCTTGAATACCTTAAGAGACGCCAGAGACATGTGGCCTGTGTAAATGTATTTTAGTAGTCCTTTGAAAGCATCGATGCTTGTTCCTCTCAGTTCAATTTCAGACTGCTTAGATTCTTTCATGCCACCAAACAAAAGAGCACTGGAACAAAAAGATGATTACCGTAGGCTAGTTCAGTATTCTTAAAAATTACACTTTCTGACCTAGGCCTGGGACCGTTTTACTTTTTTATTTTGATGTCCCCAGAGGCCAAAAACCCTATTCGTTCAAATTTTTATATATGTATATATATGTGTGTATATATTTCTTGGTAAATGTACAATGTTTTTTTAGTTTTCCTCCGTTTCTTTAAATTGAGTTATTTGTTAAAAGTTAACTTTAATTTAAAGTGCAACTAGTTAACCGCCCGTGCTCCGCCACGGGAATATTGTCAGTAATAAAAGAAATAATAATTAACAAATACTGTTTATCTTTGTATTTTATTTAGGGGTTGTTTAATTTTTTACATGAAATAGAACTGATAGTTTGCCTGTATAAACTATTTTATGTTAATCAAACCGATATATTATTTTAACCAAATAAATGTTTTATATTAATTTGAGTTTCATTTGAAAAATAAATAGTAGGTATACGAACTGGGCAATGCTGATAACCTAATAAGCAGCTATTTATGCTATTTAGATAATTTGCTCAAGTATATTCCTATATTCGTAGTTTTTTTTCATTACATTTGTTGTATGGAATAAAGATAGTCACTTAGCCTACATGTAAATCACGCATCAGCAGTTGGTCGCATTTCACGAATCTTAGACCCATACTGTGAGTAAAAGCTGTGTTTACGTCGTATATATAAAGTTGGGCATACTTTGTTCAATGTTAGAGGGTATTAACGGTCCAATTTGATGGAAAAGGAGTCGTGGATATTAAAACTATGTAGACTACCACTACCAGAAAGATGTTGATTCAAGTGATACTTAGAACCAACTGACATTTAACACCATCACTGCTCTTTACCTTTTTAGTTCGATGGTTCTCTACATGTTTTTTTCGTTTTGTAAGTCTCTTTACGCCCGGTTAATGATTACCTTTCTTTTTCTTTTTGTACTTTTCACATCCTGGGGTTAATGATTAAGTTTTATAACGCTATAATGATCCGAGTCAACATTGCCATTAAACATCAAGTCAGATACTTCTTCGCCAGAACAGAAATCGTAAGTCACAGTTTCTCAAGCAACTTCCCTGTGTAGGCCTACTCGAAAAAATATAGTTAGGGTATAGTTCACTGATAAATTGTAGTTCCAAATATCCCAGCGTACTCGCCATCTCGAGAAGGTAAAATTTGCACGTCGAAAACTGATCTTGAGTAAGATTAACCACTTACGATAAAATGTTTGTATGTTTACCAATCATTAGCAATTATCTGTACAACTTGCAAGCGGATTTCCCTATGATTGTTCTGGTGGCTATAGAGAATAAATTATATTGATCAAAAGAATAAGTTTCCGTCCCCTACTATGGGTATTATTTCACATTCCATACTCAAACTTAAACTCAATTACCACTTTCCTTCAGATCACTTTGCAGGAAAACTAAAACATTTTTGTGTCACAGTTAGACTGTTCTGACTCGAAATTCATAGATTTGAAGTAGTGACAAATCCAATCTAACGACCCCAATCCAAAAGAGTTGGTATTTTTTTGTAGGGACTTCCAGAGCACATTTAACACCAACACTGCTCTTTACCTTTTTAGTTCGATGGTTCTCTACATTTTTTTCTTTTTCGTTCGGTATGTCTCTTTTTCAATTCAATTCAAAACTACTTTATTCATTTCCTGTACATAATACATTGAATAGTGTCAACAGTTGCAAGTAGGCCTAATAGTTATTAAATACATTTATAACATAATAAAATAAAAACAAAATTTTACAAACTTTCTAAACAAAAAATACATAAATTGAATTTGTTTTTGATTTCAAAGACTATTCAACTCTTCAAAAGAAAAAATAGCCTTGCTGATGAGAAATCTTTTTAATTTATTTTTAAATATTGTTTTGGAAGTCTCTGATTTAATTTCGATTGGGAGATTATTATGGGTTTTTTCTCAAAAAGTTTTAGACTATGGTGGCCAATTGCAAGGTTTTCCCGATTTCTGGTGAAATAATTATGACTATCCCCAACTTTACGCCCGGTTAATGATTACCTTTTCTTTTTATTTTTGTACTTTTCACACCCTGGGGTTAATGATTAAGTTTTATAACGCTATAATGACCCGAGTCAACATTGCCATTAAACATCAAGTCACATACTTCTTCGCCAGAACCGAATGGTAAGTCACAGTTTTCAAGCAACTTCCCTGTGTACTTGAAAAAAAAAATTCACTGATATATTGTAGTTCCACGTATGGCGTACTCGCCATCTCGAGAAGGTAAAGTTTGGTACCACTGAACGTCTAACACTGATCTTGAGTAAGATTCGTCACCTACTATAAAATGTTTGTATGTTTCCCACTCATTAGCAATTATATGTACAACTTGCAAGCGGATTTGGGTATTATTTCACATTCCATACTCAAACTTAAACTCAATTACCACTTTCCTTCAGATCACTTTGCAGGAAAACAAAACATTTCAAAATAAGTTAACAAATACACTTTCCTTAATCAAAATCGTGTGTTTATAAACAGAAACTCCAAGTTTAATAATTGCATACTGAAAGTGAGGTTATAAAAATAATAACAAATATCTGACAAACATTAAACAGCTGACGAATAATTTATAAACTGTGTATTATATTCTTCAATAAGAATTGTATTGACTCAACCTTTAAAGGGCTGTAGGTCGTAGCCCTTAGAAAAAATGTAAATTCTAAGGAAGTTCGGCAAATCTACACACTATCCCCTTTAATTTGAGACATAAATCTTGTAGATCGGTCAAGTAATTACTGAGAAAACAGTGTTACAACTGTGTATTAAATATATAGATTTTATAAAATAGCCTCTATGTAACTATAAATATTAGAATAACTATTATATGCTGCACAATGTAAAAATTGTCAAGAGCAATAAATAAATGTGTCCAGACAATAACTTGGGTAATTTTTGTCCAATTTTGATAAAATTTGGTTTGAAGGTGTAAGGCAAAATAAACTTGAATGAGTTTGCAGACCAGTATGATTGGACCATAGGAACGGGGTTTAAAGGGGGCTTAAATTTACTTATTAGTTTATGGGGTAAAAATGGGGTTTTCTAATTTCTTACCCTTAAACACAAAATTTATCAACTTTTCCCCAGACCTTTTTAAAGAGCCACTGCAAATTGTGAAAATATACGGAACTACTTTTTCAAGGCACGGAGCAAATTGCACGTCAGGGAACGAAGTGAGGAGTGATACGGACCAGTCACTGTGCTGTGACGGATCACGTTCCAGAGAGGCTCAAAAGAGCCATCCGTGACGCCATATTGATGGTTCGTAGATCCATGAAGTCATCCTTAATTATAAAATTAAGAAAATTATAAAATTAATTTTATAATTATAAAATTAAAATTTCATAACCTTACCAAACTTGCTGATAATGAAAAAATCGAATTAAGGTTTAAAACCCGTGCTGGGTCTGACGACTTAACTTACTCAACTCTTGTTTGGGCTTTGGGCTCCTAGAATAGTCAGTGTTACTAGCCGATCATTGATTTATTATGATTGTTTATGTAGCCTAAATGTTTTTATAAAAAAAAATTAAAATGTTTTAAACTAACAAAACCTAACCAAACTTGCTGTATGATTTCATGAATCGGTTTCATAAGAGTAAAGGCATATGGAGAAGCCAGTCCGGGCTTTATGAGGATTCGTGACTAGTCCTTTGAAGGTAGGTTAGATTAAGTATGCATTAGTTTATTATTACATAAAATATTTAGCTACATTTTCATTTGATAGTAAACGCCAAAGCAACATTTTGTTACTAAAATTATTAAATTGTTTATTTATGTTTACACTGAAAAATATTTATTTATCGTAGCTATCAGCTGATATGTTTGAATTTGTTATCAACGATGCCTATATCAGATCGAAATATCAAATATCGAGATATAAAAAAATCATCGATAATAATGAATGTTCCCTTTAACAGGAAAGTACCGAAAAATCATATCAATAAGATGCACTCGTCTCAAAAACAGCAACCGACAGGACTCAAAGCTTTGACAGTTGAGCAGCTAACTTACTGTTGTTAGTATCTTAGCCTAAATAACAAAAGTTACTACTATACCTACCGAAAGTAATCGCTTCTTGCTGCCAAAATAACTTTATGAGCATGGAATTTTTGATCATCAACTTTCAAAACAATATCACTATAATCTTCATTTAAATAAAGATCTCCAAAGTGTTCAGAAAGATAGTATACATGGTCGATATCACCGTTTGAGGGCACTAAAAGACCTCTATGGTGGTTACTACTCATAGTCGACACCTGAAAAAATACACATAACTTCAATTTAACTTGAATACAGTAGACCCCCTCTTGCATAGGACACAAATATACTACAAGACACAGTGCTTGAACAGGGTTGCCACCATAGTGAGATGACAAAATTCATGCAGATTTCATGGTTTGCATTGGTAGTTTGAAAAAATTCATAGTCAATACGCACATACAAGTTGCGGCAAAAAAACTGATCTATTTTATGTAGCGCACAGTTTAGCAACATGTCGTCTGAGAGTGGTGGGGTTGGGCTCGTTGGAAAGCCTACACGATGCCATTATCTGTGGCCATAGAGCAGTGGTCACCTGAGCATCGTGCGTTTGTTATCGAGTCAAATTAAAAAAATAATGATTCATAATGAGTCATTGCAACTCAGCGGCAGTTTGGTGAATTTTTTTTATTAGGGCGACGTCGATTCCGTCATGTGGCACAATCATGTGTTAGACAATCAATTATAAAACGATGGTCTCTGCGTTCAAAAAGAAGCTGACAAGCCATCCAAAGTCAGATCGGACGTCAGACAACTAACGTTCGATAGAGTCCTAGCTGCTCTGGAAAACAGTCCTCGTATGCCCGCTTGAAAACTAACATCATCTTTAAAAATGTCTGACCGCTCGGTTACACTAATTTTTAATTTGATCTCGTTCACCCGGCCAAAAAGTCCTGTTTCCCCCCATATATGTCATGAAATATCCTGTATTCTGGTTTATATTATTACACAATGTACTTATTGGTTTCATCACATACTATAGACACAATTAATGGTTTATTGTCTGTGGTTTTATCCACAAAGCTAAAAACATCAGGTGTGAGAGCCAGAAATCCAATTTTATTGTTTTATTATATGCCCCGTTTCAATTTCGTGCATGGTTTACAACTTCTGTTTTTTTTATTAAAGTCCCCATACCCCTGTACCCATACGCGGGGGTAGGCCACCTAATGATTTTGCGAACCATATACAGTCAAAGATCTCATACCGGAAGACTTAGCTGACATCAGCATCTAACCTAAAATGAATTGGAATGAACTAAGCAATTGTTTCTGAACGTAGAAAATTCTAAATAATCGTCTCCAAATGGTATTCTCTCTTGGTGTTCGTGTTATTGAACTGTTTTTAAATATGAAATGTTGGCAAATTTAATGATACTGCTAGAATAATTTTTCCTGATTTTTAAAATTCATGGTCCAATGGAGAAATTCATGCATAATCCATGCCTTTTTTCATGGTCACAAGAATTCATGCATAATTCAAGCTTTTCAAGGTTTTCATGGCTGGTGGCAACCCTGTTGAAATGCAGAATCAGGTAAAGTACCTGGGTGTGGTATTGGACCAAAAGCTGCAATGGGGGCCACAACTCCAAAAGGTCATTGATCGAGGTAAGTGGTCACTCATGGCTTGCAGAAGGTGGGAGGAACCTGGGGGCTCAAAAAAGCCGGTGCTCATGCACTGGCTATTTGTCTCCGTGGTAAGGCCCGCCATGACATATGGCTCAATTGTGTGGTGGCCCAAGATAGACTCGGTGTCGGCAGTGAGAGATCTGGCTGCCGTCCAAAGACTCGCCAGTCTCATCATCACGGGCGCAATGAGCAGCTGTCCGGGAGCCTCACTGAACTGCCTTCTCAACCTCACTCCGATTGACCTGCATGTCAAGGTCATTGCGAGGAGGACTGCCTACAGACTCCAGTGTGAAAACCTTTGGTTGGATGTTGGAGGATCCCGAGGTCACTCTCGGATCACTCAGCAGGTAAGAGGGGAGGTAATGGACATGCCTTCGGACCACACGCCGACTCAATTCTTCTTCGCCAGACCATTCACTGTCATTCTTCCGTCCAGGGATGAGTGGATGTCTGGTGGGAATCCTCTTCCACAAGGCGACCTTAAATGGTATACTGATGGTTCAAAGGTAAGAGGTGGGACTGGGGCTGGAATTCATGGAGTGCAGAACGGGGTGGACATTTGTCTTCCTATGGGCACTCACCCAACTGTGTTCCAGGCCAAAATGACTGTGATAATGGTATGTGCTAGGGAAAACCTGAGGCTAGGCTTCAGGGACATAAACATTTCCATTTTTACAGACAGCCAGGCTACGCTCAAAGCGCTCGACTCCTATGAATTCAATTCTAAGGTGGTCTTGGACTCCCTTTCTGCTTGCGACCTGGGCAGGCACAACAAGGTAACACTCTGTTGGGTTCCTGGGCACTCAGGGATAGAAGGGAATGAGGTGGCTGACAGGCTAGCAAATGTCGCGTCAGCCTCAGACTTCGTGGGACCACAGCCTTTCTGTGGAATCTATCGTGGGCATGCATGTCACTTAGTCATGGCATGGGCTCAGGAGGAACACAGGAAAAGATGGGTTAGGCTTCAGCGCCATAGGGTAAGTAAGCTCACCCTCTTCTCCCCTTCCCAGACGGTCGCCTCCAATGCTCTATGTTTAGACAGGAGGCAACTCAGACAGATCACAGGAATGGTCACTGGACATGGCTTCCTCAAAATTGCACCTGCATCACTTGAGGATCCACAATGGTGACACTGCGTGTAGGAAATGTGGGCTATCAGAGGAGACTGCTACTACTCCTACTCTACGACTGCACTGCTCTGAATGAGGTAAGGGACAGTACTCTTGGTGCAATGACAAGTGGCAGACACCTTCCTCAGGAGGAGCTCATAGACAGGATGCTGGAGTTCATTAAGCAACTCAGGTTTGACGGTTGCTGAAGTACCATGTGGGGAGTGCAAAAAGCCCATCAGTGGCTGACGTGCAACAGGACAAGGTCCACCCCTACAGAATCAATTAATCAATCAATCAATCACCCCCTCTTAACCGACCCTAATGGGACCGGACCTAGGTCGGATAACTCAAAAGGTCGGTTAAAACGGGCAATCCCTAAAATCATGACGTAATGAATTGATTTTAGTGGGTCTGGTCTATCTCCTTTTTTGTATTGATAGAAAAGTCACAAATACACACAAAACACGGTCAAGTCAAATAGGCTTACTTTCAGTGGAATGTATTATTACTACACAAGAGTCAATAAAAACTCCTATTTTAATAACATTAGTACTGTAACGTATTAATCCTGCTCTCCAAATCCATCGTAAAACAGTAGAGAACCTTTTGTCAAAATTAAAGGTCCAAGCAACCATTTTGTTACAAGACAGGATGTTTATTTAGGCCTATAGCCTCTCACTGGAGGCTCGAGGCACAAAAACTATCTTGACGTTGGAGTTGTTAACCCCCCTTCCCTGCCATCCCCACAAGTTGCGTTGTTGCGTTGTTTGTTTACTCCAGCGATAAGATAGGCTAATCAGTTTTCAAAATCGTAACGCACTTTGTGATGAAATAAGTTTGCCGTACAGATAACAAATCAGATCAGATGTGCTCGCGCTACAAACCACGATGACAAACTGACAGATAGGCTATGCTATATTTTTTGTGATCAATACAAAATAACTTATTCTTAGTCATATCCTGTGGAGATTAGTGTATGGTTCAGTTCTCATCGCCCAGCGTGGGAGCGGAAATGCCGAGATTCCTATAAAGCGGCGGTTAAACCGAACTGCTCTCAAAGCAAGGTCAGTTAAAACAAACTGTATTATTTTACGATCAAAGGCGGATAATCCGATTATCGGTTAAGAGGGGGTCTACTGTACAACCAAACAAAAACTTAACCAAATTTGGCAATTAGATATGTAACTTAGGGTACCTCAAGGAGTAAATTTTTCTGAGGTCAAACTTAAGGGATATTAGGCCATAGGTCCCTTGCCCTTACATAAAACCTTTGTATACTGAAGAATGTGGACCTAACTTACTTTAAGTTTAGATGTTGACCTAACTGTAGATGTTGGCCTTACTTAGGAGATCAAGTCTACAGAATAAGACCATATCAACAATTCTGAGGTTGGACCTAAGAACATTCGTGAAAACCCGATAGAACCACGACGATTCCCGATCTACGGATGTGATGAAGACATTGAAAGTAAGTTAAAAGGTAAAAGATTTATTCTTAGTCAACTGATAAAGCAGTCTATTGCTTACTGATAAAGGACACTCAAAGGTTGAACCTTAAAGTTGTAAAAACTAGGGCTGCACTTTACTTTAGGTCCTACACACATTCGAATGAAAATATCGATTTATCGATTGTTTCATTCGATAAGTATATCGTTTGGTTAGTTAGGTAAGGTTAACCTAACCTAACTAACCAAACGATATATCGAATGAAACATTTGAATAATCGATATTTTCATTCAAATGAGTGTAGGACCTTAAGTAAAGTGCAGCCAAAACTAGGACTAGGTAAAACTTACTAAACATTTTACTGAAATAAGTTAAGTATCTAAGCTACTGGACATTATTCAAAATATAGGCTAATAAGTATTCTAATAGTATATTAGTGGATAAGTATATTAATAGGTATTCCTAGGTGAGTATTCTGTGTACCTACTTGTTCTGTACAAAGTATATTTAGGCATATAGGCCTATTCCACGAATTTGTTTTTAATCTTGACTAATCCAATTATTAACTCAAGCAAATCATAGAACTTGGGTCTATTAGAGAAAACTAAGTTATATATCAGATTTTAGTAGGTAAGCTAACTTACTTCAAAACAACTCGTACAAATTAGAGTAACACCAGTATTTATGCGTTAGAATTGATTGTAACGATTCTATAACATTACAAACATGTGCTGGGCCAAACAGCAAGTTCTCTCTTGCTTAATATTCTGTAATTCGTGTCTTGAAGTATCTCAATGGGAACATAATTACTTAGGAAAGACTACCAATTTCAATAACATAACAACTAACAAGCAGAAAGCAATGTAAAAATTTGACATCTCGGTCAGTCGATCCGAGTCGAGGAGTCGATCACTACGATCGTGAAGACAGCTATCGCCAGCTAACGGTGGGCGGAGAATTCCATACCCCCACCACTCTTTCTGTGTACAACCTAATAAAACGGAAATAGACCTCAAATTAATTAAAAATTTTAAAACCTTTGTTTTAACAATATAACACATAATGTAACGTTTTCCAGCACATTTTAACGATTTAAATGAGGAAAATACTTAAATGCATAACAAATAAAATATATTAATAAATAAAATGTTAAGTTATTTTGAGCCTGAAGTCCAGCTAACGAATTGGCGCTTAGTGTACAGACAACCTTCGACGGATAATAAAATTATGTTCCCTATCAATTCCCAAACTTTTTATTGCTGAAATTAGTTGAGGTACATGTAATCTAAAAGTGAATATATGTTATAACAAAATAAAAGTGGTGGAAAATAGGTTAAAGTTCCCCTAATCATTTACATACCGCTCACTCTGGAAAAACCAGAACACTTTCGACGGATAATAAAGTTATGTTCCTTATCAATTCCCAAACTTTTTATTGCTGAAATTAGTTGAGGAACATGTAACCTAAAATTGTACATATGTTACAACAAAATAAAAGTGGTGGAAAATAGGTTAAAGTTCCCCTAACCATTTCCATACCGCGTACGCTGATAAATCCAGTCAACTTTCGACGGATAATAAAATTATGTTCCTTATCAATTCCCAAACTTTTTATTGCTGAAATTAGTTAAGGTACATGTAAACTAAAATTATACATATGTTATAATAAAATAAAAGTGGTGGAAAATAGGTTAAAGTTCCCCTAATCATTTACATACCGCTCACTCTGGAAAAACCAGAACACTTTCGACGGATAATAAAATTATGTTCCTTATCAATTCCCAAACTTTTTATTGCTGAAATTAGTTGAGGTACATGTAATCTAAAAGTGAATATATGTTATAACAAAATAAAAGTGGTGGAAAATAGGTTAAAGTTCCCCTAATCATTTACATACCGCTCACTCTGGAAAAACCAGAACACTTTCGACGGATAATAAAGTTATGTTCCTTATCAATTCCCAAACTTTTTATTGCTGAAATTAGTTGAGGAACATGTAACCTAAAATTGTACATATGTTACAACAAAATAAAAGTGGTGGAAAATAGGTTAAAGTTCCCCTAACCATTTCCATACCGCGTACGCTGATAAATCCAGTCAACTTTCGACGGATAATAAAATTATGTTCCTTATCAATTCCCAAACTTTTTATTGCTGAAATTAGTTAAGGTACATGTAACCTAAAATTGTACATATGTTATAATAAAATAAAAGTGGTGGAAAATAGGTTAAAGTTCCCCTAATCATTTACATACCGCTCACTCTGGAAAAACCAGAACACTTTCGACGGATAATAAAATTATGTTCCTTATCAATTCCCAAACTTTTTATTGCTGAAATTAGTTGAGGTACATGTAATCTAAAAGTGTACATATGTTATAAGACAATAAAAGTGGTGGAAAATAGGTTAAAGTTACCCTAACCATTTCCATACCGAGTACGCTGAAAAATCCAGCCAACTTTCGACGGATAATAAAATTATGTTCCTTATCAATTCCCAAACTTTTTATTGCTGAAATTAGTTGAGGTACATGTAATCTAAAAGTGTACATATGTTATAACAAAATGAAAGTGGTGGAAAATAGGTTAAAGTTACCCTAATCATTTACATACCGCTCACTCTGGAAAAACCAGAACACTTTCGACGGATAATAAAATTATGTTCCTTACAAATTCCCAAACTTTTTATTGCTGAAATTAGTTGAGGTACATGTAATCTAAAAGTGTACATATGTTATAAGACAATAAAAGTGGTGGAAAATAGGTTAAAGTTACCCTAACCATTTCCATACCGAGTACGCTGAAAAATCCAGTCAACTTTCGACGGATAATAAAATTATGTTCCTTATCAATTCCCAAACTTTTTATTGCTGAAATTAGTTGAGGTACATGTAATCTAAAAGTGTACATATGTTATAACAAAATGGAAGTGGTGGAAAATAGGTTAAAGTTACGCTAAACATTTACATACCGCTCACTCTGGAAAAACCAGAACACTTTCGACGGATAATAAAGTTATGTTCCTTATCAATTCCCAAACTTTTTATTGCTGAAATTAGTTAAGGTACATGTAACCTAAAATTGTACATATGTTATAACAAAATAAAAGTGGTGGAAAATAGGTTAAAGTTCCCCTAACCATTTCCATACCGCGTACGCTGATAAATCCAGTCAACTTTCGACGGATAATAAAATTATGTTCCTTATCAATTCCCAAACTTTTTATTGCTGAAATTAGTTATGGTACATGTAACCTAAAATTGTACATATGTTATAATAAAATAAAAGTGGAGGAAAATAGGTTAAAGTTCCCCTAATCATTTACATACCGCTCACTCTGGAAAAACCAGAACACTTTCGACGGATAATAAAATTATGTTCCTTATCAATTCCCAAACTTTTTATTGCTGAAATTAGTTGAGGTACATGTAATCTAAAAGTGTACATATGTTATAAGACAATAAAAGTGGTGGAAAATAGGTTAAAGTTACCCTAACCATTTCCATACCGAGTACGCTGAAAAATCCAGCCAACTTTCGACGGATAATAAAATTATGTTCCTTATCAATTCCCAAACTTTTTATTGCTGAAATTAGTTGAGGTACATGTAATCTAAAAGTGTACATATGTTATAACAAAATGAAAGTGGTGGAAAATAGGTTAAAGTTACCCTAATCATTTACATACCGCTCACTCTGGAAAAACCAGAACACTTTCGACGGATAATAAAATTATGTTCCTTATCAATTCCCAAACTTTTTATTGCTGAAATTAGTTGAGGTACATGTAATCTAAAAGTGTACATATGTTATAAGACAATAAAAGTGGTGGAAAATAGGTTAAAGTTACCCTAACCATTTCCATACCGAGTACGCTGAAAAATCCAGCCAACTTTCGACGGATAATAAAATTATGTTCCTTATCAATTCCCAAACTTTTTATTGCTGAAATTAGTTGAGGTACATGTAATCTAAAAGTGTACATATGTTATAACAAAATGAAAGTGGTGGAAAATAGGTTAAAGTTACCCTAATCATTTACATACCGCTCACTCTGGAAAAACCAGAACACTTTCGACGGATAATAAAATTATGTTCCTTACAAATTCCCAAACTTTTTATTGCTGAAATTAGTTGAGGTACATGTAATCTAAAAGTGTACATATGTTATAAGACAATAAAAGTGGTGGAAAATAGGTTAAAGTTACCCTAACCATTTCCATACCGAGTACGCTGAAAAATCCAGTCAACTTTCGACGGATAATAAAATTATGTTCCTTATCAATTCCCAAACTTGTTATTGATGAAATTAGTTGAGGTACATGTAACCTAAAAGTGTACATATGTTATAACAAAATAAAAGTGGTGGAAAATAGGTTAAAGTTCCCCTAACCATTTCCATACCGCGTACGCTGATAAATGCAGTCAACTTTCGACGGATGATAAAATTATGTTCCTTATCAATTCCCAAACTTTTTATTGCTGAAATTAGTTAAGGTACATGTAATCTAAAAGTGTACATATGTTAAAGGAAAATAAAAGTGGTGGAAAATAGGTTAAAGTTCCCCTAACCATTTCCATACCGCGTACGCTGATAAATCCAGTCAACTTTCGACGGATAATAAAATTATGTTCCTTATCAATTCCCAAACTTTTTATTGCTGAAATTAGTTGAAGTACATGTAATCTAAAAGTGTACATATGTTATAACAAAATGGAAGTGGTGGAAAATAGGTTAAAGTTACGCTAATCATTTACATACCGCTCACTCTGGAAAAACCAGAACACTTTCGACGGATAATAAAGTTATGTTCCTTATCAATTCCCAAACTTTTTATTACTGAAATTAGTTAAGGTACATGTAACCTAAAAATGTACATATGTTATAACAAAATAAAAGTGGTGGAAAATAGGTTAAAGTTCCCCTAACCATTTCCATACCGCGTACGCTGATAAATACAGTCAACTTTCGACGGATAATAAAAATATGTTCCTTATCAATTCCCAAACTGTTTATTGCTGAAATTAGTTAAGGTACATGTAACCTAAAATTGTACATATGTTATAACAAAATAAAAGTGGTGGAAAATAGGTTAAAGTTACCCTAACCATTTCCATACCGCGTACGCTGAAAAATCCAGTCAACTTTCGACGGATAATAAAATTATGTTCCTTATCAATTCCCAAACTTTTTATTGCTGAAATTAGTTGAGGTACATGTAACCTAAAAGTGTACATATGTTATAACAAAATAAAAGTGGTGGAAAATAGGTTAAAGTTCCCCTAATCATTTACATACCGCTCACTCTGGAAAAACCAGAACACTTTCGACGGATAATAAAGTTATGTTCCTTATCAATTCCCAAACTTTTTATTGCTGAAATTAGTTAAGGAACATGTAACCTGAAATTGTACATATGTTACAACAAAATAAAAGTGGTGGAAAATAGGTTAAAGTTCCCCTAACTATTTACTTACCATTCAATTTGTAGAACTCACTCAACTTTCGACGGATAATAAAACTATGTTCCTTATCAATTCCCAAACTTTTTATTGCTGAAATTAGTTGAGGTACATGTAACCTAAAAGTGTACATATGTATTTAAAAAAATGTGGTGGAAAAAGATCAAAACTCACTTCAACCATCGATACACCACTTAATCAGTTATTCGAACAGGCAATTTTTGACGGGGTGGGGACCGCGATCTGTTATTAAAATAATTAACACAACAGAACCCTGCATTACAGCCCAAATACAATTATGAATAATAGGAAAAAATTTTATAATTAAAATTGAAAATTTGTTGTTTATTATACTGTTATTTTATAAAGAAACTTTGATCAAATTTAAAATTCTGACAAATGAAATAAGC